CTTCAGATGGAATATCATAAATGCAATGATTATCCACAGGCTGCGTCCGATCCATGACGAGAAGCATAGGTACTGAAACGCTTCAAATATTTTCGAAGTTGAGCTAAGTATGGAAAAAAGAACTAATATTTTGCACTGAATGTAGAATTCTGCAGAAAGGAAGCAGAGTTCTGCGAAATTCGGCTAGACGGATTAAGCCAGAAATTCTGGCTTTTAAAGTGTTGATAATAACTGAAAAGTACTAAATGGCGTAAGAAAGCTGCTTAATCAGCTTTGCGATGTAGAAGTGCTGAAAATACCTAAAGGAGTCCGGGCTCTCCTCTGTTGGAAGCTCGTGTGCAGTATCGAAAGAACAAATTTTTGTACGTTTTGTGCTGCGGCAGTTGCACAAAGCGCGTCGAGCCTCCGTCTGTCTGAGTGTGTTTGTGTGTATATATGTATGTGTGTTTTTACCCGGGGTTTTTAACTCGAGGAACAGAGAAGCTAGAAGCTGAAATTTTAAGGAAAGGGTAGGGAGAAGGCCCTATCTGCGAACGTGTACTCTCGAACCCAAATTTGGCGCCCCCATGCGCCTAGGCTTCAAGTACGGTCACGTGAAAGCTTTGGTACCTAAATTAATAATTCGGAAAGCACAAAAGCTAGGACGTTGAAATTCCAGAAGAATGCTCTCTGCTCGAGTGTAAAGGCCCTCCTGGACAGAATTGTACGAGTTCAGCTGAACAGGGTTGCACAAAACGTATGATGGCACCAGTTAGTCTGAGGCGTGCCGCTATTTATTTTTTTTTTCAAGCGGGTTTGCCGCTGCTGCATAACTAAGTTCTACAAAGATTTACGGCACCAGTAAAATCCGCTTGCGTTCGATGATGCTATCCATTGCAGTACCACGACACTGCTCAAGGATGCGTCTCGCTGCTCTTATCCATCCGACCTCATCTTCTGGCATCACGCATTACAAATGATCCCACCAGTCATTGGCAGCTGCTTATATCGAACGCGCTGAATGCATGCGATTCGCAGAACTCGTCAGTTGAGAACTCCTGCTGAAATAAGATGCATTCATTTGAGAATTCCTGAAACGATATGCACACATATACACACTGGGTCGTCGCAATATGTGTTTTTGCATTTGCATTTAAACAAAAAGGCATTATCATTTGTCTGTGTACCTATCCTAAATCATCAGTCCCGTCACAAAGATCCTTCAGTTTGCTTACTTAAGCAAAGAGCGCCTGATATGCTGGAGCGCTTTAGCGCGCCATCGTTTTGCAGCGCAAATGCGTTAAAACTTCACCACTTTGAAAACTAGTACCAAAATTTCAGTGTGCCAGTGTACACTTCTTTTCCCCACCAATTTCTTTGTTCAGGCAGAAAAAAGAGCACAGGTGCGCTTTTGTTGGTGCAGTACTTATATGCAACTGAAAATAAAAGTAAGTTTTTCCGCGCCTGGTTCAAACAGTGCTTTTTGGAGTGCTAAAACATAAAACTTGCAGGCATTTTTTTTGGCAGAAAGCGTGCTTTGTATGAAAGGAAACAGTTCGTTGTAAATTCGAGAGTTGCTAAAATGGCGGAAGTATCGCTAAAATAATACTGAAGTTGATAGCAGAGCAACGGCCGGCGAGCACGATTGATGCGGTGGCCTAGGCTAAGGGCCACAGTAGCAAGGCTTGCTCGTGAGCAAAATCAATGACTAATTACGAATGTAAAATAGTGGTAAAAAGTGAGAGATTCGTTGCGCCATCTAGAAGTACGATGTCCGATGCTAAATTTTGTGATAAAGTACGAAAAGCATAAAGGCTTTTGGAGAAGTGATGTTGTTGCTTCCATGC